CTCTGTGAGTTCGAGGCCAGCCTGGGCTACCAAGTGAGTTCCAGGAAAGGCGCAAAGCTACACAGAGAAACCCTGTCTCGAAAAATCAAAAAAAAAAAAAAAAAAAAAAAAAGACTACTGTCTGTACCAGCCTAAGACTGTAGGGGGAGAGCTTGAAAGGGAGGGGGGATTCTCTCCCAGACAGTAGGCCTGTGCTGTGCCTCAGGGACAGGTGGAATGTGGGTGGTGAAGTTATATTTAGCAGGCACAAAAGCCCATCTGGGCTGTTGGCAGCTGTTCTGGTGGCCCAAGAAAGTGGGCAGAGTGCTCCCATAGTTGCCCTCACACCCCCACACCCCAGGTCCCACAAACACCTCCCTTCCCTCCCTCTGCCTGGAATGTCCTCTCTCCACGGTTCTCCCAGACAAACTCTGCTCTGTCCTCTTGAGCTGCCTCTTTCACAAAGCCTTCTGACTAGACACGCCTACCTTCCCCGGAAGAGACAGTCTGGAGGTATGACCCTTAATCACCTCTTGCCTGGCTTAGCTCCAGCCTGGACCTACTAGACAGCCTCAGTTCCGGTTCTGATCACACACCTTGGCTACCTCTTAGGGCTTGCATAAATTCCTGTCACTTCCCCCGGAATGAAGCATTGCTCCCCTGGGACTCCCTTAGGATGGTTTAAAAATGAGTTTCCCTGGGGCTGGGGAGATGGCTCAGTAGTTAAGAGCACTGACTTCTTTTCCAGAGGACCTGGGTTCAATTCCCCCCACCTACATGGCAGCTCACAACTGTCTGTAACTCCAGTGCCAGGGAATCTGACACCTTCATACCAATGTACATAAAATAAATTTAAATAAATTATTTTTTTAAATGAATTTCCCTAGATCTTAAAGTTTAATGCTCATTTGCACTTAGAGGAGGCATTCAGGGATTAGGGTCATCGGATACTTCTGATGGCAGAGGTGAGTCCCTCAGTGGCAATTTTAGGGGTGGACCAGTGGGGATGACAGTGTCGACTACGGAAATGGAGGAAATTCCAAGTTCCAGCAGCACCCTTACTCCAGCTTTACCTTCTGAAACTACCAGAGCAGGGTGATGGGTAAGGCCGGGAACCAGGGCCTGGGGTGGGCTTGTGTGTGAGTAGGATTTTTGTGGGATACGAGTGAATATCTGAGAGTGAATGAGGAGTTAGTGCTGGGATCCATGTGGACTTGGACACAGGGGTTGGAAGAAGGTAGGGAGGGGATGATGATAGAGAATGAGTTGAAATAAGGGTAGCCGGAAGATTAGGAACTGGGTCGTGATCAGAAAGGAGGCAAGAGTTGGGGGCCAGAGCATGCTCACACCTGTTCATTGCCCACCAGGTAGACCTTAATGTCAGGCAGAGAGAGGCCTCTCTTCTCACAGATGCCTGCCAGCATGTCTCGGATGGTGAGGCCTGGTCGAGCCAGGGCCAAGGAGGCTGTGCCATCAGGCAGATACACGCAGCAGTACTTCCCTGGCCGGTTTTCACTCTCACCCTCTCCACTTCCAAGGCTCTTTCGGTGACTCTGGATGTGGGCGAGAGCAGACAGAGGCTGTATGTACACAGGGATGTTGTCAGCTCTCTAGGACACATACACACGCGTGCGAGGGCACCCTTGGAGGCAGGCACAGATGTGTCTTGCTCCAGGAACACAAGTATGCACACTCAAACATGTGGACACTCAGCCAGGCATGGTGGCACCTTTAATCCTAGTACTTGGAGGCAGAGGCAGGCAGAGGCAGGCAGAGGCAGGCAGAGGCAGGCAGACCTCTGAGTTCCACAACAGTCAGGGCTACATATAGAAACCCTGTCTCAAAACAAAAATAAAATAAAATAAATGTGGACGTGCAGGGACAACTCCACTAACTAATCACACACACATCATACAGGGTACACCTAGGCACCCACACGTGCACACCCATCTGCCAGCTGAGGATGTGCGTCCCTGATATGTACAGAGATCACTGTAGGGAACATGAAAGAGAGGAAGGGTGAGGTGATAGCTTTGCGGAGTCTGGCTAGGAGCGGACATGTAGCTACCCACTGCTAGCGCTGGGCACCCAGGAAGGGAACTGGCAGTGGTCCTAACCAGAGAGGCACCTTGTTCCCTTCCAATGCTGCTCACCTCAGATTTGCTGCTCACAAAGGCAAGGAAGCCCAGGTCCAGACTGGCGGAAGAATTCAGGGACCCCTGAGACTCTCGTCGCAGGGCAGAGTTCGTGGCTCCACCCGTCATCTCTAAGGGAAAGTCAGCAATGAGGAGACCTTCTTCCTCTCACCATCCCTTGGTAAGGCCCTCCCATTTGGTGGGTCTTGTTTGGAGCCCTCCCGCAGGGACTTAAATGTGTGGGTCCCTGGACTTGTCGCTGAGTAGCCCTAACAAACTTCCGGGGTGTAGCCTGGGAGCACAGCCTCCTGGAGAAACCGGGTGATCTCAAGAACCTACATTTTGGGGTTTGGGGTTTGCCTTACTGCAGACTGTGGTCAAGTAAGGAGAAGGGGGCGTTCCCAGAATTGTCCCAAACTTCCCGGCCACACCATTCCTAGGGCCGGCCTCACCTCTGCGAAAGGACTTGCGGAGAGGGCGTCCACAAGGGCCCTCAGCAAGTGGCAGCTGCCCCAACTCCTCCACGCCCACGGGCAGCGATTTCCCGGGCTTCAGCTTCGGCTTCTGAGGGTAGAGGGAAGACTCTAGTGCGGATCTACGGCTGGGAAGACCCTTCCTGAGACTGTCCCCGCCCAGCCTCCTGCCACCCCGGTCCGGTCCGCACCTTCCTCGAGGTGTCCGGGCTCCCGAGGCGCGAGGAGCCAGGTTCCCGCAGGGGGCGTCCCTCGGCCTCGGCCAGCAGGCACTCTTGGTACAGCGGGGATTTGACGAAGCGCGCATAGCTGTCGAACTTCATCAGATTGAAGATCTGCGCGGTCAGCGGGTGTGGGTGGTGATTGGTACCAGGAGAGGACAGTGGAGGGCTGGATGGGTGGGTCCTGCCCTCGCCAGCCCAAGTAGGGGAGCCCCAAGCCCTGCCTCCTCAGTTCCTGTCATATACCTGGGGTCTGAGACCAGCCGCTCCCCTTGGCCCCACCCCAGCCCATCCTTCGAGTCATCCTCGGCTTTCACCCTCTTACTCCGGTCCTGACCTTGCGTTGGCTCTGGTACTGCATCCAATTTTGCCCCTTCCCTCCGCCTCGGACTCCACCCCTGTATCTGGGACTTCTGGGCTTATCACTGGTCTCCCTTCTCAGCCAGGCCTTGCCCCTTGGCCACCTCACCTGAAGCTGCTGTGCTCGAAACATATCCGGCCGGGGCTGGGCCAGCACCTCCTCACTAAGCCAGGCCTGTCGGTCAATGTTCACCGGGCTCAGCGCCTGGCTGGACAGGAACTCATGGTAGATATTGTGGGCCTCCTGAGATAGCTGGGGGACGAGGGACCGGAAGAGATCAGGGGGCATGCCCCAGGTCTAGTCCCCACCCCTCTGTCCCATTCTCTCTACCTGCTTGGTGTCACTGGCTGGGATCTGCTGGAAACGCTCGCAGGCTTTCCAGAAAGTTACGTTCTCGGCGCTGAATTCCTTCTTCAGGAACTCCTGGCATGAGAACAAGGTGAAGGAAGGCTTCAGACACAGGCTGAAACAGGGATGTGTTCAAAGACTGGGACAGACATGGGCCAAGAGACCAGACAGACAGACAGATGGTGCCAGATCTGGGGTACAAAAAAAAAAATCCGAGAAGGAGAGATAAGAACAAGGAGAAGGAAGAGTTCCCAGCTTGGTGGTGAGGGAAAGGATGCCAAAGACGGGCTAGTTGAGAAACCACGAAGAGAAGCAGCACTCTAACCAGCCCGAAGCCCTGTCTGTGCCCTCTCCAGAATCCCCCATGCCTGCAGTGGCACCTGCCTACCCCCAGGTCCCACCCCCCAATTCCACTGCACCCCACCCCAGGGCTCACCGTGAAGTAAGCCAGGCCCAGTGGGTCTTGCAGCAGCCGCTCAAAGGACAGGGCCCAGCTGGCCACAGGCTGATCGTCAGTGGAGAAGGGGCTGCTGGGGCCACTGGGGAGGCTGTGGATGCTGAGGGAGCTGCCCCGGCCCTCACTCTGGCCCTGGGAACCCGCTGTGCTGGTCAGTTCTGCAGAGAGATGGACAAGTAGGAGTGAGCCTTTTCCCTTCCTCGGCCTTTGCCCAATCCCTGCTGCAGGCAGGCTGCAGCGACATTACCTGAAAGACCAGTGGGGGTGTCCCCACTCACTTCCACCTCCCCATCCCTCTCTCCGAAAGACCAGTGGGGGTGTCTCCACTCACTTCCACCTCCCCATCCCTCTCTCCCTCCCAGTCATGCCTCATCCACACAGTCTGTCACTTACCTCCATCGGAGACAGCCAGAACCTAGGAGAGACCCAAGGCAGACAGTCAGAGTAGAGTTCTGTAAGGAATCCCAAGGAGCCGCACCGGACCCAGCCTCCGGTGAGCTGGGACTGTGTTTTCTGTCTACAGAGTCAGGCAGAATTCTCCAGACAGTCATTACTGGCTAGGGTTTCGCTCTGCCTGTCCTGACCCCTTTCCCATCATGAGCCGACCACTGTGTGCTGGGGCTTCCTCAGGGTACTTTCTGGTGGCCCCGGCTCCCTTCTCTCTCTCAGGCCCTTCTAGGTGAGTCCGGGTGTGCAGAGACTCCAATCTTGCCTCTGGCAGGTACTGTTCTTGTGAATTTGAGCACAGAGCTCACTTATTGGCTCCTATCTGTAAATGAGGGGTGGGGCTACAAATGAGCACTGGCCCTTGGGAACTTCGTACACTGTATTTATAACACTGCCTATGGCGTGGTAAGGGCTATGCCAATCTCGTCTTTGAGGGAGGAGAGGTGTGTCTGTGCCTAATTGCACTTTTTTCTCCTTGGGGCACTCATCCCACCCTACCTTGGGCATGGCACAGAATGCTATTTTTGTAGCACAGAGCTGTGTCCATCAAACTTTAGCAGAGAGTGGCCAAGAGGACCCCCTCTCAGGTTCAGTAGATCCAGGATGGGGCTCGAAGCTCTCCATTTCTAACAGGCTTCCAGGCAGTTCTGGTGCTGGTCCAGGGGTCACAATGTGAGTAACACTGTCATTCAGGCCAACTCCACTCTCTCCTACAATGTGCACTAACTCTGACTTCTCTGGGAAGCCCAGTCGCTGGTGAAATAGAACCCCACACACCTTGAAGTTGTTCTTGCAGAGGTTTCTTTTGGTGTCTTTCCCACCTTCCCAGAAGCACCCCCCAGCTCTCCCACGGACCCTTGCCCATGCAGGGTGGACTCTTCCCTTTCTTGGTTTTGTTCTGGATCCTTTGTGCCCCACCCCAACATCTAGCTCCAACCGCACACAGCCAGTTTCCTGCTAATATCTGTCTCCAGATGCCCCAAAAGCCATTCTCAGACGGACACCTCTCTGTCCCCACTGTAAAAGTTCTGAAAAAGCTTCCCTGTATCCTGTCCTTTTCCCATCACGTAGACTCCCAGCACCTCCAACCCCCATTACTTCCTACATGTCACCAGACCCTGTCAAAGAAACTTCCACCATGTCCCTTCTTCCCATCCCCACTGAAAGCAAGCCCTGGGAAGCCTCCTCTGTCCTGTTCTCTCCTCTCCACTCCTACCCTTGGAGCACCTCGGTCATGTGGAAGTCAGGATTAGCCTGCAGGACACTATAAGACATTATTTGGCCTCCAGGGGGGAAAATTAAGTTTAAAGGGGTTTCCTATGTTTAAAAATTGAGAGATTTTCCTCATTGGTTCCATTTCCCTATCTCCTCTTTAAGAGTGATGCCCAAGGTGTTGTGAGCATCATCTCAGAGTAGCAAGCTTGGCTGGCCCTGAGCAGACAGTGGCCTTCCCTACAGGGGATTCTCATTCCTCTGGAAGGACTCTAGGGCCAGTCTGATACATCTATGTTATGTTTGGAGGCAACGGGAAGCAAGCACCACCTAGGCTTGAATTCGGATTCCATGCTGTGCGACCTTGGGAAGAATGCTCAGCTATCTCCTGACCTTGGTTTGTCCTCTCTAGAAATTGGGCAGATAATGATCCTGCCTCACTGCAGGATTGCTCAGTTGAATAAGTTAAACACACAGAAGGAACTCAGAACAGTTTGTGGTGTGTAATGAACGTTCTAGAACATTACAGCGACTGCAGCTTCATCAATATCCACGGCTGATGCTGCCAGGTGTTTGATTTGCCGCCCTGCAGGACAGCAAAGAGCACAACTGTGTGGGCTCTCGAGACAAGGATTCAAATTCTAGCTCTGTTTTTTTCTTGTTTTACAACCTTGTGTGGGGGTTGAGCAAGAGAGAAAATTGCAATTGCCTGAGCTGGGCGTGGGACCCACCCTCCCAGCACACCCCACTCTGAGCCCACCCCTGCCCTCCACACTCTACCTCACACTCCCCAAGATGACCGTCATCATTAGAGTCATCTCTCCCAAGCAAGGTCCTCACATCTCTCAGCTAAAGGGGAGAAAGCCCTGATGCCTAGGGGTGGGAGATCCTTCAGGATGCTGGAGTCCCCAGACAGGCTGCTATTTTCTCCCCAGCACCTGCCTGCACCCACTGATGCCTCCCTCCCCCAGCTGCTTCACAACTGCAGCTGTGTTGCTGACTTCAAGTCTGTGCCATCCTCCTCTCAGCTCTGGTGAAGGCCTCTCAGAGCACAGCCTTACCTCTTCAAGTATCCTTAGCCTTTGAGCTGCCCTCCAATCCCAAATCATCCCGTCCCTTGCAGGTGGCTTTCTCTGGGCAAGAGTCCTTGACATAACCAAAGGGGAACTGAAGCCAGATGCACGAGGATTTCGTTTGGCTCTCAGAGGTTTTATTTCTGTATTATCTTTAATTAAATGTCTGGGTCCTTACTCCCAGGTTTCTCCGGGTCTTTCCTGCCCCACTGTTCCACCCTGGACTCAACTCCTTGCCCGCCTTAGTAGGGTTGCTGTTGCCAAGTTACAGTTAAAGGCCTACCTGCGCCTGACTAATGAGCCCCTCCGACATCATTTCCCTCCTCCTCACCTCCACCCCACACTTTATCAAACTTCTATTTTCCCCACACCCCTGCTTCCTGTTTTGCTGTTTCCTCTGCCGGAGTACCTACTTCTATAGCCCCCTGGCACTGCTCTGGATCCCTGTCCAGCACCAGTTTCCCCCAAATACTGCTCTTCACCCTTCCCTTCCCACCACACTAAGCCCACTCACGTCGGGGCCTCCCATCCCTGCAGCCTGGTAGCTCCTGGAGGGCAGGTCTTGTTGGGGAGTCTATCTGAGATCCCTGATCCAGGGGCATCCTCTTTGACCCTGTGCTCAAGCAGCCTTAAGACTGAGATGCGGGCTGGGTGGTGGTGGCGCACGCCTTTAATCCCAGCACTCGGGAGGCAGAGCTAGGCGGATCTCTGTGAGTTCGAGGCCAGCCTGGGCTACCAAGTGAGCTCCAGGAAAGGCGCAAAGCTACGCAGAGAAACCCTGTCTCGAAAACCCAAAAAAAAAAAAAAAAAAAAAAAGACTGAGATGCTGGCCCAGGTACCCTCTCCATGCTTGAGCACAGCTGCTCACCAGTGTCTGCTCCCAGGCTGCCTCCTGCCGTTCTTTGTTCCAGCCTCCCTTGCCCCATTGGTAGAATGGGGACAAAGGTGGATGAGAGACAGAACTTTAGAGCTGGGAGGGAAGAGGAACGGAGTCCAATCCTGCTCAGTCATTTGCACATCGGGAATAACTGGGTTCCCAGCCTCTGGGGGGCTGCTGTGAGTCTGAATAGGGCACATCTTGGTTAAAGATCCAACTATGGCAAAGTGGGGTCCAGAGCCACAGCTCTGGTTTGCACAGGCTCCAAGGCATGGGGAAGTTGGGTTCAACAGTAACCCCAGCTCTCACCTCTGCTTGAGGTGCCATTTTGAGTGAAAGGAGGAAAAGGGGAAGAAAGGATGAGGAAGGGTGTGGTGGCCAATGACGCTCCCAACCAAGTTGGGTCTGGCTTTAGTTTGTCACGCTTTGAAGTGGCTCTAAGGGAGCCTGAGGACACTGAGGAAGCCACCTCAAGTTCCTGATCCAGCTGTCTTACAGGCAACCCGTGTTCTTATTCTGCCCTCAACATCTGTGTCCCCTGCATCAAGTGTTATTGCCCCTGTTTTACAGGGGAGGAACCTAAGGCCCAGAGAAGTTATAGAGCTGGGAAGTGGCAGAGACAGTGTTAAAAGCCGAGTTTGCCTGTCAGCTATGGAATCTGCAGGCTCCACCTTGCCGCTCCATGCTGCTTCCACATATACATATATTTGAAACAAGGTTTCACTGTGTAGCCCTGGCTGGCCTGGCACTCCCTGTGTAGACTTGGCTGGCCTCTAGCTTCCGGAGACCCACCTGCCTCTGCTTTCTGAGCACTGGGATTAAAGGAATATGTCGCTGCGCCCAGCCTTGCCACTTCCATTATAAACAGGGGAGATTGGAGGACCAGGGCTTGTAGCCCTTGGGCATAGGTGGGCAGGGCCAAGAGAGGTGAGGCCCAGTGAGTCCTCTTGAACGGGCCCCTAGAGGACTCAGATCTCAAAGAGAGAACAATCAACTGATGGATGCCTCAGACTTTCCTTAGCCCTGACCCAACTCTTACTCAAACCAGAACTTCATTCCAGTATTCTCACCCATTTTGTCCCATTTTGACCCCTCCAGAGTCAAGTACCTGAACTGTGATCTTGTTTCAGTCTTGTGGATCTTTATTATTATTACTATTACTATTATTATTATTATTATTATTATTATTATTATTATTATTTAATTATTTAGAAGAGGACATCAGATCTCATTGCAGATGGTTGTGAACCACCACATGGGTGCTGGGAATTAAACTCAGGACCTCTGGAAGAGCAGCCAGTGCTCTTAACCTCTGAGCCATCTCTCCAGCCCCCAGTCTTGTGGATCTGTACACAGCCCTAGGTGCCTGATTCTCTCAGCTTGAGCCAGCTCCAGAGGGCTGTCCCCAAGACTTGGCCCTTCTACAATAAACCCCTGCACTGCCATCCCTGACCCTGAGTTGGACACAGAGGCACATGAGTTTCTTGTCAGTCTCTTTGCCAGTGTTTGCTGGTGGGACCAGCACTAACTACGTTTCCAGAAAGTTAACTATGACTCACTCGAAGTTAAACTCATAGAATCCCTCGGGTGTATCCTCCACAGTAACGGTACGTTTTCCTGTATGCCATCCCCCGGGCCACTCCCCCTCTAGCTTGCACATACTTTAAGGACCATCTTCTATAGCGTTAGGCATTAATGGAGAAGATGCTCTTCCTTGCCAGTCTCCTCTCGGGCTTCCTCCACTCCTGACCTAAGCTCTTCCCCAAACAGGAACTTTATTCCAGTAATCTTCACTCATTTTTTTGTGCCTCACTACATTGTGGCAAACTGTGGCTAACTGTGGGCTGCTTGCGGGGCTGGGATTTGGGTCTTAAGTGCTCAGGGTGGGACAGCCCAGACTAGCCCCTGAGTGAGAGCATAAATAAGGTGACAGCTGGTACTGTGTGACGATTTCTCCGGGAGGGGGCTAAGAGCATCCTCTAAGTGACAAGTCTCATTTCAGCTGCTTGACAAGCCGAGTGCCAGAAGGATACAGCTGATGACTTTGCCTCGTCAGGGGATGCTGGAGGATGGGAAGAGACCAGAGCCAGACAGTGCTGGGGGACTCAGGGGTATGTGCAAGCAGTGACCCTTCTACTCAACAACATATCACTCGTGTTCCTCTGAGCCTCCCCTGTGAGGTAACAACTGGACTCCTTACCCACAGACCCTCTCCATTCACATCTGCACCATAGTCACTAAGCCTGTCTTTCCATGCCTGCTCCAGCCAAGTATGACCTCCTAAAGCTGCCCGTGGTCCAGCAGTAGACACCCGTGAACCATGAGGTCTCTAGAGTCATACCGAGAGTTCAGAACTGATCCAGAAAGGACAGAGATAAACGTGTGACAGTTACTGAGAGGACCTGGGGCAGAGCTTGTGCCATCCTCTTTACTCTGAATGACTCTGGGACAGAGAAGCCGTGGCTGACACAGGAGGGCCAGCCTGGGTCTGTCTCCAGCTCTCTCAGCTGCCCTGCAGCTCCGAGTTCTGTCCCAGAAGCATCAGTCCGGCTATACTTCTGGGGTGGGTTTGGGCTATTCCTCCAGGGCTCTGCGGCCAGGATACCTAAGGAAGAGCAAGCCAAGTGCCATGACCACCCAGGGTGGGAGTGCAAGGCAAAGGGGCTCTCCTTGGACTTTCTAAGTCGGGTTGGTGGTAGAGGAAGTAGGACGGGACCGAGCCAGCTCTTGGAATTGGTCTCCCTTCTACCCAAACAGCATGGCACTGGCAGGACAGGGCTGCTGCACACGAGATGGAAACTAATCTTGGGCACTGGAAAGTGGGGATGGGGTCTGGGGTGGCTCAGCTATTCAGTGAGGCATACGATTCTGAAAGAGGGGCTGAAAATAGAGGGACTTCGGGGCTAACATCTCCATAGCCTTCACAGTGCTTCAGGGTCTCCGATTCATTATGCCACTCAGTCAACAGGACTTTAATCCATTTCATTTCACAGATGACGAAATAGGAAAGGACAATGGTGCTAGAACTGGGACCTCAGGTCGCTTTGGACCCACCAGCTTTGTCCTATGGTACTAGGCTGGGGCCTTAGAACAGGGACTAAGAGGAAACTATTTAGTGACTCTGCCAGGTGAGCCAGGTCCCTGATGGCAGCTCAACACAGCCTGCCCTGTTTGCTGAGTGAATGAGAAGAGCCAGAAACTCTGAGGCAGCTCCAATCTGGAGTCCAGTGGCCTGGAGAGGGTGTAAGGGGATAGCTGCAGCCCAGGGTTCCTTTTCTCAGCTACACACCCCTCCTTCCTGGAAGCTAGGAATAGAACAGGCAGAGCTGTTCATCCCGTCCCATCCTTACTGACCCATCCCGGGCTGCCCAAGAACACCAGTTCTGGCAGGATGCCTCTGGAGCAGGTTGATGTAGTGACCCAGCAAGGCTGCTCTTAGCCTTATCTTAGGCACCTAGAGCATGAGGTGGAGGGGCTTGAGCAGTTGTAAGAGTGGTCAGGGAGCAACAGGACCACTGGGTCTGTCTCCACGCCTCTCTCTAAGCAGCTTCACCTAGGGCTAATTCCCAGGGTAGATGAGGGAGCAGTGAGTCCAGCCTGCAAGGGGAACCAGAGCCTGTGCCCACTGTGCTCTGGGCTCAGCCGTAGGGCTGCACCAGACTCCTAGCAGGGCATCTGGAAGGGTCCTGGGGTGACAGCACCAGGTCCCACTTTCAGCAGCCATCTGTACCCAACTTCTCCAGCCTGCTGACAGCCCCCTGGGCTCCTCCTCACACCTGCCGGTTGTGCCTCCTGGACTCCACCCTGGGTGTGCCCACCCCCTCCTTGTGGCTCTGGCTCAGAGCCCGCACTCACCATGCGCCCGTTGGGGACACCCAAGTGCTTGGGCTTCCCTGGCATACCGCCGCTGATCTCAGGTCCCCGCCACGGGGGGCCACCCACCACAGGGATTGTGGAAGCACTGGTCAGAGCTCTCGGGGTGGCAGGCAGGCAGTGGAGAGAGCGCTCTGCTCCTGCGGGCCCTCACATCCTGAAACAACCAGCTCACTACCTCTTTTCTCTGCCACAGGAAGTGTCTCTATAGAAACCAAACCACAGAAAGAAGCAAGGTCTAAGAGAGCGAACGCCTCTTCCTACTCGCATACACACACGTTCACGCACACACACATGCCGCCAACGCACCCTTGGTTGCACCCCATGCAAGCACCAACACACAGCAGGAGCCTCCTTGTGCCCAGTGAGCAGCCTGGAGTGTTCCGGCTCAGCCTGGGAGCTCCAAGGTTATGTGTTAGCACACAGAAGTGCATGGTCGTACAACCAGGCACTTTTGTACCAGGTAGTCTGGCAGGGGTTCCTGTGGACATGGGGACATGTGCCCTGGGTCCTGGCTATCCGTATGTGTGCTTTATTCAGCACACGTTTACTCCATACCTACTATGCGCCCAGCTTATGCATGCTTAGCACCCTTACCCCAGGCAGTTTGCATGTGGAGACTGTACTATCCTTAAGCCGTCTTCTGATGGCCACGTGAGTAAAGGGTAAACATATTGCATGTGTGACCATGCATGTGGGCATGCATGTCATGAACTTATAGGCTTTCTTTCACAGAGTACCTAAAGCTTCAGGCATAGACAAGTGAAGCTGAATGTGGTGGCACATGCCTGTAATGCCAGCCCTTTGGAGGTAGAGGCAGGAGAATCAGGAGCTTCAGCTACACAGTAAGTTGAGGTCAGACATAGCTACATGAGACTCAATCTGTGTGTGTGTGTGTGTGTGTGTGTGTGTGTGTGTGTGTGTGTGTGTGTACACATGCATAGTGCATGGGTAGGTGCATATGACAGGCACAACCATATGTAGGTCTATGTGTGCTCAGACACCTCAGGGATCAGGTATGCACATATGCATCAATGGATAGGAAAATGGATCATGTGCATCCACACCAATGAGGTAAGTTAATCCATACTCATGGAGAAATCCCACCTTGGTGCAGTACTGTCTCAGTTCAGACTCTATAAGAAAAATACTATGTCCAGCCCTAGAGTAGCTGAGACAGGTGAAGCTCTATGAGTTCAAGGCCAGCCTTGGCTACGTGGTTCCAGATCAACCAGGACTGCATAATGACACCCTTCCTGAAACAAATAATAGACAGGGCTGGAGGGATGGCTCAGTGGTTAAGAACACTGGCTTCTCTTCCAGAAGACCTGGGTTCCATTTCCAGCAACAATGTGACAGCTCACAACTGCTTATGACTCCAGTTCAGAGAATATGATGCCCTCTTCTGGCCTCCAGGGGTACCAGGCATGCGGGTAGTACACAGGCACACATGCAGGCCATACAGTCACACATATAAAAAAATCTTAAAAATTATAAAGAAAAAAATTCCATAGACTGGGTGGCTCGAACAAGTTTTCTTTTCTCACCATTCTGGAGGCTGGTGTGTCCAAGATCAAGCACTAAAATTCTGTGGTCTGATGAGTCCTGACTGGCAGATGGCCATAAGTCCTGGCTGGCAGATGGCCATCTTTCTGCTGTGCTCAGATGTGGCAGAAAGCAGAGAGAAAGGAAGCATGCTCTTTCCTGTCTTGTCCTATAAAGGACACTCTTCTCATCACAATGGATCCATCCTCAGTCTGATGTACTTTCTGTCCAAAGGCCCCATCTCCAATATTTCCAAATACTATAAAATGAGTGGGTAGCCTTCCAACGTGTGCAAAGGAAAGCATTCTTTGAAAAAACTTTATTTCACTATTTTATTATTTATTGTATGCGTAGGTGCATGTTCATGCTGTGGCATAGACGTCAGAGGGTAACTTTCAGGAGGAGGTTTTCTCCTCTCACCAACTGGGTTCTGGGGATAAGACTCAGATGATCAGGCCTGGTAGCAAGTAGCACCCTTAACTGCTGAGTCATCTCATCGGCCTCACCCCAACTTTTTGAGACAAGTAAGAAGTATGTGTTTTGTTTTAGAGATTTCTTTATTATTATTATTATTATTATTATTATTATTATGTGTGTCTGTGTGTAGGTATGTGAATGTGTGTGCCAATGCATGAGAAGGCCAGATGTATCTGATACCCTGGAGCTGAGTAACAGGCAGTTGTGAGCTGACTGATGTGGGTGCTGGGAACTGAACTCAGATCATCTTTCAGAGCAGTATACACTCTTAAGTGCTGGACCATCTCCAGCCCTAAGGTCTCACTATGTCTCCTAAATGGACCCCGAACTTCTGGGTTCAAGGAATTCTCCTGCCTCTGTCTGTCTTTTCTGGCTGGATACAGAAGAAGGTAAGACCCTAGGGCAGTGTTTCTCAACTTTCCTAACGCTGCAGCCCTTAATACAGTTGCTCATGTTGTGGTGGCCCCCAACCATACCATTATTTCATTGCTACTTCACAACTGTAATTTTGCTACTGTTGTGAACTGTAATGTAAATATCTGATATGCAGAATATCTGATGTGCAAACCTAAAGGGGTCTTGACCCACAGGTTGAGAACTTCTGCCCTAGAGGCTCTAGGAGCCATAAGAACAAAGAAGGGTCTATGCATCGGTGCATGGAGGCATGCCATCCATCAACCTGGAACACCAGCTTTGGATAATTCTGAAGCCCTCAGAAACAAACTTGGTGCCATTGTACATATTATAGTCTATTTGTTATAGCAGCTAGCACAACCCTAGTTAATTTACCTCTTTCTGGATGCCCTGCTTCTGGCCATGCAGGCAGGAATTTGAAGTGTGTGAGGTTGGGGTTGCTTTATAGGCTGGAGCAGTGGCAAAGATGATCTTGTTATGATGCTTCTGTGTTGTGGAATATTATTTAAAGATGTGTTATAATTGTTTATGCTGAGGAACACTTGTTTAATGATGCAAAGATGTGCTGCATTCTTTCATGTGGCATTTGTTTAACTCTGTGAGTCGTGTTACTTTGCCTGTCTAAAACACCTGATTGGTCTAACCAAGAGCTGAATGGCCAATAGCAGGAGGAAGGACAGGTGGGGCTGGTAGGCAGAGAGAATAAATAGGAGGAGAAATCTGGGAAGAGAGGAGATGTAGGGGTGAGAGAAGGAGGAGGACTCAGGGGCCAGCCACCCAGCTACACAACCCTCAATGGAGTAAGAAAGAAATTCAGTAATAGAAAAAGGTAAAAGCACAGAGGCAAAAAGTAAATGGGATAATTTAAGTTAAGAGAAGCTGGCTAAAAATAAGACAAGCTAAGGCTGGGCAATTATAAGTAATAATAGGGCTGGAGAGATGGCTCAGAGGTTAAGAGCACTGACTGCTCTTCCAGAGGTCCTGAGTTCAATTCCCAGCAACCACATGGTAGCTCACAACCATCTGTAATGAGATCTGGTGCCCTCTTCTGGCCTGCAGTCATACATGCTGTATACTTAATAAATAAATAAATCTTTGGGGAAAAAAAGTAATAATAAGCCACCGTGTGATTATTTGGGAGCTGGGTGGTGGGCCCCCCAAAGAGTAAAGTGTATTTAAAAAGCCAACAATACTTATGGGCTGAAGATGTAGTTAATTCGGTAGAATTCTTGTCTAACACATCAGACCCACAGTGCTGTGGGATGACTTTCTGTATGCTGTGAATATGTGTTGCTCTGATTGGCTGATAAATAAAGCTGCATTGGCCTATGGCAGGGCAGGATGGAGCCAGGTGGGAAAATTCAAGAGAGAGATAGTGAGAGGAGAAAGGAGAGTAGGGGGAGATGCTAGCCCACTGCCCAAGGAGCAACAAGATGCCAGCAGACCAGTAATGCCACAGCCTCGTGGCAAAACATAGATTAATAGAAATGGGTTAATTTAAGATGAAAGAGCTAGCTAACAAGAAGCCTGAGCCATAGACCAAACAGTTTGTAATTAATATAAGCCTCTGAGTGATTATTTTGTAAGCAGCTGCGGGACCTCAGGGCTGGGTGGAACACAGAAAAACTTCCAGCTATATATCCCAGCACTGCATGAAACTAGGTCTGATGGTACACATCTGTAATCCCAGCAACAGAGGCAGGAGGGGAGGGAGTCCAAGGTCACCCCCTGTTTCATAACTAGAGGCCAGCTAGGCTACAAGTTAGCTTGTCTCAAACAAATAAACAGACAGACAAGTGCTTACGCAGCCGCTCATTTCTATAATCCCAGCACTCAGGAGCCTGAGGCAGTAGAATTGCCAACCTGGGCTACTAAAGTGCTTATGAAGCTAGAGAGGTTGCTCATTAATACAGTGCTTATGTGGGCATTTGCAAAGCCCTGGATTTGATACCCAGCGTTAGAATGAACAAATAAGTGAATAGCGTACCTGTGAGGGAGCTTATGTGACATGCCTGAAATATGTCTGTCTGATGCACCCAGGCTTCATTCAGGTTTCTTAGGTTGCTTTATAGCTTGCAAGGACTCCTAACAGGACTTCATTTGGTCCTTGTGGTAGTTTGAATGTAACTGGCCCCCATAATCTCATAGGGAGTAACACTCTTAGGAGGTGTGGCTTTATTGAAGTGGGTATGTGTAGTAGGACAGGCTCATGGGGCGAGAAAATTGGCTCAAACCAGTTGCCAAGGCATGCACATAATGTACTTCCTTATGAGCCAACCTGGAGTCTGCCTGAGGGCCTAGCAGCAAGTGCTGTCAGAGCTCCTGATCATGCCCAGCCAATGACAGATGACCTCGCAATGCCACCAGATCAGGACACAGTCTGAGTGTTGGGAGGAGGGTATATAAGGCCTTCCCCATTACTGAATAAAAGAGTCTGCTGTTTGCCTTTCACCCAACTCCCAGTGTCTGTGTCATTGACTCTTTGCCTTCATACCGCCTCTCCTGAGGGAGACATTAGGGCCTAGCAACATACTAGACTGGTATGGCCTTCTTGGAAGATGTGTGTCACTGTGGGGGCAGGCTTTGAGGTCTCCTACGCTCAGGATACCACCCAGTGTGTCCGTCAACTTCCTGTTGCCTGCAAGATGTAGGACTCTCAGCTACATCTGCCTGCATGCCATCACGCTCCCCATAACAATAATGGACTGAACCTCTGAAACTGTAGGCGAGCTCCCAATTAAATGTTTTCATTTATAAGAGTTGCCAGGGTCATGGATA